CCGGAGGGTTCCATCTCACAATAGCCGCTGCCATGTCGCTGCCCCCCCACCTGGCACGGGTGGTTGCGCCCCGCGCGGTCCGTTAAGACGCCAACGGCCGCGGCGAAAGATGGGGGGGGTACGGTAGCGTGCCCCGTGCTACCTGCGAGCCACGCTGGTCCTTCCACTGCTTAAGCTGCTGCGAGGCGTGGTCCGAGCTGCCGGCCATGTTGCGGGCTCCGAGACCCCCGAGCGGGCTGCAGGAGGTGAGGCGCTACGAGCAAGCCAGCTGTCGCCTGCGAAGCGCGGAGCGGAGCACAGCTCAGAACAGCACTGGCTCTTCGCCTGCGTCTGACAGGCAGGGATAAGATCACAGCCGCGGGCGGCTACTACTGTCACCCGGAGCGGGCCCCTCATTGGTCAGTAGCTTCGCCACCTCGGGCTCTGATTGGGTGGGGCGCGCGCCAATTAGCGAGAAGGAACCGCCTCTCCAGGGAGCGGGCTGGGGGGCGGGTCTGCCAGTGCCTGTGCTCGCCATGGGGGTGGCGTATCTTGCCTCACTGCTTGATCGCCTTCCTGACGGCTGAGCTTTTGCAGGGGTTGAGCACAGGGGAGACCCTGGGCAAGCTGTAGAGCCTCCAAGAGCTCTTGTCGGGAGGGGAAACCCTGGTATCCCCCTTGTCAAGTGCAGCGTTTGGGAGTTGAGAATTGCTTCTGCTCTTCCACTTTCATGGTGGTGAGAGGGGGTGGAAATTGCCTCCTGCCGCCCACAGACCCCTGGCAGGAGGAGTTGGGTTCCAGCACTTCGGTTGGCAAGTCGTATTTTTAGTAGCATAGCTTGTTTCCTGCCTTATCTTGAAGGGGGAAAGGTTAAACGGCCGTCTGGCCTGTGTCCACAGTCTCGTGATCCTTTCAGTTTGCACTGGGACCGGTGGACCTTTTGCCCAGCAGGCCACATCTCTCTCTCTTGAGTTAGCTGAAAATGGGAGGACTTTTTAACCCCATACAGGTTCGGCCCTGAGATTACTCCATTAGTTGGAGTAACTACCGTGTCTTTCCAGCACCCCCTCCCCCACTTTTTTTCCACTGCTGGGTTTTGGAGTAGCTTTTGCTGGATGGTGTTGCTCTAAAGCACTGGTTCTCAACCTTTTTTGCGCCAGGACCCATTTGTAAACGTCCATGGCCAGTCCTGACCCAGTAAATAGTTTAAGTAGAAAACAGTGCCCCCAGCCCTGCAGGTGCTCCTAATTCCCAACCCACAGCCCCCACACCCCCAGCCCTGTGGATGCCCTTCACTCCTGACCCACTGCCCTCAGGTCCCAGCCTCCCAGTGTGTGAGGTGGGCACATGCTCCCCCAGATTTGTGCACCCATAGCAGGCACAGGGCTGCAGCCTGGCTGGACTGACATGGACAGGAGCCACCTCCATGGCCCAGCAGGCAGGACCTGACACAGGAGGATGGAGCAGAGTGGCAAGACTCATTACCTGCCACCCCACCTCCTCTTCTGGGTAGAGGCATGGCATAAGGGGAAGTGACAGCAGTGCCTGGACTAAGGCAGGGAGTTGCTGGAGTTGCTGTCCATTCTGCTGACTGCTGCACATGCAAGTGGCGCCTGATCGCCCTCTTTCCAGGGGAAACCCGCCATTTCCCACATTTTTCTCTTTTAAAAGATAATCTATTTTTCAAGTCAGTTCATAACCCTTTTATATATTTCTGCGACCCACTTTTGGGTCACAACCCACAGGTTGAGAAATGCTGCTCTAAAGGCAGAGGGACAAGCTACAGTTCTAATTGCTGTTGTTTTTGCAGCAGTGAACCTACTACCCTAGGACAGGCGTGGGCAAAATACGGCCCGCGGGCCAGATGCGGCCCGCCAGCCCATTCTACCTGGCTGCCCATTCAAAGATGACAGGCAGACAGTGGCAGCAGGACCCAATAGGAGCCTGTGGTGGAGCAGCAAGGCGAGCCTGGTTCCACCTCACCTCTCTCACCCTCAGCCCCAAACCCTGAAGCCTGGAGTGGCTCCCTACCCTCATCTGAGTAGAAAGTAAGGCAATATTGGATGGAGTGGGGGGAACCGCTGGAACAGCCCAGGGGCTGGGAGCCCCTGGTGCATCCCAGGCCAGGCTGGAAGCGGGGGCGGAGGGAAGTTGCTGCAGCTGCGGGGGAGGGCTTGGAAGTAGTGGGGGCTGCGGGGCGTGGCAGGAGCACGTGCCACTCAGCCATTGCTTTTTGCCAGTGCTGACCCAGCTGGGCCCATCTCATTCTGAGCAGCATGCAGCAAAGCAGTGGCTGGGCTGGATTTGCCGCATGCTGCTCAGGACTGGTCGGGACAGGACCGGCTGGGTCGGCACCAGCGAGAAGCAGCGGCTGAGCCACGTGCCGCTTGGGGACTGCCCGAGCTCAGCCATGGCTTCCCCTCCCCAGCAAAGCCACGGCTTCTATTTACCTCTGCTGGCCAGTCCCAAGTGGCACACAGCTCAGCCGCCACTTCTTCTCTCCAGTGCCGACTCAGCCAGGCCTGTTGCATCTCAAGCTGCATGCAGGGAAGCAATGGCTGTGCCAGCTTTGCTGCATGCCACTCAGGACCAGACAGGCACCACCGGGTCAGCACCGGCAAGGAGAAGCAGCAGCTGAGCCACATGCCGCTTCCTCGCACCGCTTGAGACAGGTTGGCACCAGAAGGGCAAAAAGCCGTGGCTGAGCCTGTGCCAAGCAGCATGCTAGGAAGTGGCACACAGCTCAGCTGGCTCAGCCACCGCTTTTCCTCACCAGTGGTGACCTGGCCGGGCCCGTCCCGTCCTGAGCAGCACGCAGAAAAGCCGGCCTAGCCGCTGCTTCCCTGCATGCTGCTTGGAATGCGACAGGCCCGGCCCAGGCAGCACCAGCAAGGGGAAGCAGCAGCTGGGCTGTGTGCCGCTTGGGACTGGACAGGCCAGGTCAGCAGAGGTAAGTGCACAGCTTTGCGCAGCTGTTCCCAGAGCCCCAGGGGCTCCTGCCGTGACCCGGCCAGGCCAGGCTCCACTTTGGGTGCCGCTGGCAGCCCAAATGTGGCCCAGTCTCTCTCCCTTTCCCTCTCCCTCCTTCCTTCCCTCTCTCTTCCCTCACTCTCTTCCCTCTATTTTTTTCTTCCCTCTGTCTTCTCTCTATGAAGTTTTATTTATGGTCACTAGGTTTAGAATTTTTAGAAAACCTGGTATTTACCATACAACAGGAACGTTTATGATTATTAACTATATTAATATGCAGTGTATCCTGCCACATACCCCCTGCCCCAGTTTTCTTTTTTTGGCATTTCAGCACTCCAGAGTCTTACAATGGGGTCTTGGCACTCCAGCCAAAAAACATTGCCTACCCTGACATAGACCATGTGACAGAGTATAACTTCCAGTTCCAAGGCCCTACTACCCCCTCCCAAAAGGAGTACTTCTGGGGGCAAAGGGAGGGACGTCCAGTGGCAAAGGATAGGGTTAGGGAGCAGGACTTCCAGCCACAAGATGGCGACCAGGGAGCGGGACAACTGTCAAGGAGCGGGGCTACCCATGCAGCCCTTGACAGCTCACCAAAATTCATGAACTGGCCCTCCACCTGAAATAATTGCCCACTCCTGCCCTCGGAACATAATGACCCAGGAGGCTCAATCCAATCCCCTGCTATCACAGGTAGCCACTCCCTATGATCCTTTTCATGTACTGGTCAGACCATTTTAAAAACATAAAAGCTTCCAAAAAAACCTGAAACTCGCATGTTCCAACATTCATTTCACCACCGTTACTAGAACTGTGCTTCTCTGATAGAACCCTAATCATTTCCAGGCCATACTTATTCAGCGTCAGTCCATTCCCTTTGGTAACATCTGGGGATTATATAATCATATGCAGTTTACCATATGTAGTACTATATTATGATTGTACTCTTGTAGAGGCCTTGACCAACTTTGTTCCTGGGGCAGGCCTAGTGAACTGAAAGTGCTGAACTACTAAGACAGACAAGGTTCTTTGGGTGAATCTGATATCTTTTATTAGACCAACTTAAATAGTTGGAAAACAATTTTTTAGCAAGCTTTCATGTTTAAAAACCCTTCATCAGGCTGAGGAAGTCTCTGCACTTGGTGTGTGCTCTTCGTGAATTAAATGAATAGTAAAAAGGCTAGGCTGGTCTACATGCAAGATAGGCAATCAGTGAAGATGTAAATTGAGGAGTCAGTGGGTGAGAGACAGGCTGGGTTGGGGTGGAGAAGGGGGTGAATGTAGCAGTTAAATAGTGGAGAGGTACCTTGGGAGTCAGATGTCAGGCAGCTTATAATGTGTCATAAATCCAATGTCTATATTTAGTCCATGATTTTTAGGTTGATGAAGTGAAGTTCATAGGTTCATCTCTGAGAAGTGTTTTGTAAGTTATCTTTGAGGATTAGAACTGAGAGACTGGAGAGAGAGTGGTTTTCTTGTGAGAAATGTGCCCCCACTGGTAATTGGGTATTATTGTCTTTGATAAATTTCCGGTGTGCATTCATTCTGGTGCGCAGTTGTTGTTTGTTCTCTATATTTTCCATCAGGGCATTTGGTACACTGGATGAGATGTATTACATTTCTGGAGGTGTAGCTGTAAGACCCAGGAATGGTGATGGGTCTGTTGTGGGATGTAATAATTGTGGGGGTGGTGGCAGGTTTTGCATTTCTTGTCATGGCATGGACTGGATCTATTGGGTATGTTCTGGGCCTAGGGAAGTCTGCTTCTGGTGATGAGTTTAGCGAGGTTCGGTGCTTGTTTGAAGGCTAGGATGGGTGGTTCTGGGAAGATCTCTTTAAGAATAGGGTCTTCTTCTAGTATGGGTTGCAATTGTTTGAGGATTTTCTGTATGGGTTTGAGGGAGGGGTAATATGTCATAACCAGCAGCGTGCGATTCATGGGGGGGGGTTCTTCTGTACTGCAGCAATTCTTCATGTGATATCCGGTGGCTCTTTCAAACATGCGATCTATCTCTCTGGAGGAGTCTCCTTGTTGGGTGAAAACCTTTTTAAGATTGGCAAGGTGGCAATCCTGGGTGTTCTCAGTGTAAATTCAGTGGTATCTGATATATTGATGACATCTTTACCATTTGGACTGAAAACCTTCAATCTCTGATTGAGTTCCACCAGAAATTCAACAATCATCATCCCTCCATCTGACTATCTCTTGAATACTCCAGCACCAACATCTCCTTTTTAGACACAATAATCAGTATCCAGCATGGTAAAATACAGACCAAGTTATACAAAAAACACACAGACCAACATACATATCAGCACAGAACCAGGAATCACCTCAAACACACCAAGAAAGCTGTGATATACAGCCAAGCCCTCAGCTTATTATTAAGTACCATAGATGGATGAGGAAACTAATCCTGCCTAAGTAGCTACAATTAAAGGTAATGCC